CCCCAAAACCCCAAAACCCCAAAACCCCAGAAAGCTGGTAAATAATTGAAATATAGGCTACTATATTTTATTCCTTGATTTTGGGCGATACGATCTATTCCTAATGGTCACCTTCATACTTTCAATTAAATCTCTACTTGCTTTGATTCCAAACCCTCCTGTAGTAGTAGGGACTAATTTTGCCTGAACTCTCTTTTTAGTCCTATTTTTATAATAAAAATTACCTTTGAATTCTATTTACGCTGCTTTTTACGAACCTTTTCTGCCTTAAAATCCTTATTTCTGAGTAACTTATTTCAATGTAATATTCCTAAACCCTTGAGCGCTATCACAATTTGTATTGATATTCAAACTATATTCTGGGGCTTGGGTAAGTTCCTTTTGTCTTGACTTTCTGCTTTTAATTCTAAACAATGTTCCAAAATGTTACATATCCAAATACTCCTTATCTCTCTGAGTCTGCACAGGTCTATTTAAAATCCTCGAGAGTTATGAAATTAATAGAAGTCACAGCTCTCCATTCTCTAAAGAGAGTTCGCCATCAAAATTACTGCTTTTCTTGACCTTTTTCTTCTGAAATTTGTGGGATATTATCTTGCTCCAGTGGTTTCATACTTTTTCTATATTGCTGGCGTTGAAGTTTACTCAGCTCACTTTGACTTGCACTTACTTAAAAATGAGTCAATAGATCGTCTTTTCATACTCGAAAATTGTGATATTCCCTAGAACTATAATCATGACAAAACTGATACCCAAACCGGAGTCTTGTCCTTCTGGAAATCTTGATATCTAAATTGTTGGGAACATCTAAGCTGGCTTCATGTCTACTAGTCTTGGGTCTGTAAGAAGATCGACTTGATCTTTTAATATAATTCTGGCACTTTTGGATAATTTCATTAGGCAAGAAAGGAGTTGTGCTCATACTATTTCTTGCCCTCTATAACAAAATGAAAGCTGAGGTATGTCTAAAATTTTGAAATAAATGGTTTCATACTTTGCTAAGATATTGCTAAGGTCAACAATACAACACTAAATGAAGAGTTTAATTAGTTTTAATCAACTTTTGAGAATTTGGTAGCTTCGTGATCTAAAATTAGAAGATGAAGGTTTGACTCTATTCTTTATTTAAAAAGTATATTTAAATTCTCTAGTCTGTACTATATAGTTTGAGAGAAAATCAAACGGAGTTATGAGTGAAATAAATAAATGATTTCAAAGAATTAGGCATATGCTGTAAGCGATTTTTGATGCTATTCAATGCTCAAAATTTCAAAGAAACCTTCTGTAAAATGATGCAAATAACATTTATTGATTTTCATTCAATTAAATTCATTTAGATGTTGGCAGGTTAAATTTTTCTTGCTTTTTCTTCAAACCAACCCAATATGTTAAATATTTATGCATAAATTATACTGCATCAGTTCATATTCAGTTAAATTTTGTGTTACAAAGTTTAAAATCACAAAAAAGGAATCTTGAATAATCACCAAGAGAATGAAAAACAACCCTACTCGAGTTCTATTCTTGTTTGTCTTTAATACATCTGAAAGCTTTCTTTCAAAATCTTCCCTCTGGTTGTTAGATAACACATTTCTAAACATTTGTTCTATTTGTTAATTCCTAATACAGGTACCTGCTTTTTTGAAACTTTCTTCCTTTGGGTCAATTTTATCTGAAACCAATTATTTCATTTACTTGATTTTGAGTAAAATAATCCAATTTTAAAATTAGGAAAATAATTATGCTTTAAGTACCACAGACCCTATCAAAAACAAGGGTTCTTTATGACAGAAATACCTTCAATCAGCATAACAGAGTCAAGAGTAAAGCATAGTAATTAAATATCTTTCGGCTAAAAATAGAGCTTAAGAAATATAAACTTCAATGTTTATCATTTTTTAATCTTTTTGCCAATAAAAACTCAGAAAATCAATTAAGTGCTAATAAAAAATAAAATTATTCTCAGAATGAAGTTCTTATAATAACTCATATCTTAAAATACTTCTATTAAGTGAAATAATATGATAAGTTATCTTTAAATTCACATAAACTAATCCTCTCAGATGTTCGTATTAAGTTAGACAATAGTGTGTTTAAGCCTTTGAACAACTAAAAAGGTCAAGCCACTTACTTGGCATGCTAAAGAAGCATACTTTAGCTAACAATCTTGTTACAAGAAAACTTTCTAAGGTTAATATTTACAAACTTCCCAATGTTAATTGAAATATTAGAGGAGATGTAAACAAAGTATCTGCAGGCTAATTTCAGCATGTTCAAAGAGTTCATTAAAAATTATTATTTGCTTTAAAGCCTCTCCAAATCTATTCTCAAAGATTTTATAACTTTCAGTCAAAATCAAGAAGATATCAATATTATTACCAAACAGAGCAATAAAACAAACTCTATTCTGCATCCTATTTCAATTTTTGTAATTATAGCAGCTTCTAACTCATGTGTTAATCCCATCAATACTATTAAGAATCTAGTATCCCTGAAACCATTAAAAGTGCAAAGCATGCTTCTGCTCATTAGCATCAAAAATAAAATTCTTGAACATTTAGATATCCAAAACAGTAAAACCAAAGCTTTCATCTTGATAAACTCATGAAATTTGAAGAAGATACTTACCAAAAATTAAAACCTTGTTCTTAACCTTTGGGATCTGAGTAAAAGGTGATATAATACATCTGCCTAATTTCAATGACCTGGCATGCTTCTTCAACTGAGAAGTCAACCCAGGAGCAGAAGGAATACTTCCGAATTTATACTCCCTGCAAATATTATTCATTTTATAAATTATTTATTTCATTTCCCATTGCAAAAAAGGGGTTTTGGGGTTTTGGGGTTTTGGGG